TGGTGTGAGAGGATTTTAGGAGTATTTGGGTAATCTGTTTGGAAACAATCATTATTTTTGGAATTCTGTTTGGTGGCACAGAAATGTCATAATAAATTTTAATTCTGTGACTAACTGCTAGCTCTTTCTTTATTAAATGAAACAGCTCTGCTTGCTGCTTGTTACAGCTGCTTGCCATTTACTTGCTGCAGTGCACTAATTACAGGAAAAGTCATCCTGGAGCAAGCTGGGGTCAAGAGGCCCGCTCAGGGGCACAACTGCCACCTCACTGACTCTTCATTTATTGGGTCGCTCCAACAAGGAATTGAACCTGCAACCTTTATGCTCTGTGTCAACAATTAGGTAACACATCACACTTTAATGAACGGAGGGCAGCATTAATCACTTCCTGACCAGAGGGATGTAGATGACACACAAACCGGATCTGAACAGATGCGATACACAGTGTGGACAGTCAACCATTTAAATCAGATTCCAATCAGATATGCACAAAATCGGATTTCGACTGATAGTCTGAACAAGTCTATAGTTTTACCGTTTACTGCACTTTATTATTCTTCAAGGTTTTTTTAATGTATAATGGCAATATGAATCTGAAGTCTTGCGCATTCACAGAAAATAACTTAATTTCACATTGAAAAATAAGGCGGGTAATAAAATAACAGTTTCATTTTCCTAGTTATCGGTGAATGATATATTAGCCACCAATATATTGTGCACCTTCAGTTACTATTCCATCAGAACTGAAGAAATCAATGGAAAACCACTCACTCTCATCAATAACAGGATCAACATTCGGCCTGCAGTGAATCGGTTCTCAGCTATACTTTCTTCAAAGTCCACCTGCAATGGAGAATGACAAACCCAAGGCAATTACATTAATTCTGTAATAATTGAACATAAACATCAATTGCAACAAAAAATGGAACATGCTTTAGTCCATTATTCAGTCTCACCACTTTACTGATGTATGTGGCAATGTAGAAAATATCATTGGAGAAGTTTTGAGTGATTTCACTGAAAAGTTGGATGCACTGGGGCATGGAGGGAACAGTGTCCCTAATGCACAATGTACACTGTCTGATATTAGAGAAACATGGTGAAGAAGAAAAAAAAA